GAGAGCCACAGGTTGCAAACACCTGATATACAGTATCATGAGCTTTCATGGGAAAACCCACTTCCACAGATGAGTGAGGAAGTGGATTTTGCCCACAAAAGCTCATGATACCATATATATATGTATATATTTTGTTAGTCTCTAAGATGCTACACTACTACTCATTTTTTCAAGTTACAGACTAAGACAAACACCCCTCTGATACTATTTACTGAACGTTTTTCCTAGCTTCAGAGACACTCCCTCTGTTATGTGCAACCAACTCCATATGACACTTTTAGGTTCCACAGTAGTATTTTTTAGGTTGTAGTTACGTGCTCAAGTCCATGAAAGAGTATCATTCCTGCCTCTCTACCTGCAGAGTGCACATGTGTACACACAACTATTAATGCCGGAAACTTGCACCTCATGATTCAGCATTTCTGATGCTCATAACTTACATGTTCACAAGGGAGAAAAATCTACTGGCTCTAATTACTCAGGAAAGAAGCCTGGACCTGTGCCTCAAGCACATGCCTAGGACTTCAGACACCAGGTTTACAGTTGCTGTGCTACTGACCTCGGGCAAGTTCCCACTGGGTGCCTGTTTCTTCTTCCATCTGTTGTCCTTCAAGACTGTAAACTCTTTGCGGGGTAAAGACCTTCTTGCTCACTAAATGGCTATCCAATGTCTAGCCCAGTGGCATTCTGATTTCAGCTGGGAATTGCAGCAGCTACTGCCACATTACCATCAACTGGGAAGTTTTCTATGTCCCTTTTTATTTTGAAGAGCTGTTACACCAACATAGCCCTCCATTCTGAAAGTAGCTAGCTCTACATCAGCCTCAGGATGCACATTATGGTCTGTCCAAAGCTCTGTAATGTTTGTTTTATTAATGTTCTTAGGTGCCTCAATTTAAACATGCTGAGCTTAAGACACTTGATTTTTCAGAAAGTCCCTAGAGTACTAGACATGTTAGAGTGTAATTGAATAGTTGTGTAACTGTATGAAATTGTAGTGGTTACACGACTACTCAATAGACCCAAGGGGTGGGCAAGCAGCCAGTGTGCTCCCAGCCCCACTCCCGGGGAGCTCCCTGCCACCTGCATTGCTGCCTCTCAATCTGTAGGAGGCAGCAGGTGGGGGCAGGAGAGTCCATGGAGCAAACATTTGCAGAGAGCCACTTAACAGACGGTTCCCCATGCACATCAGCTCCTGCCTACTCCCCTCATCTTGCACGCGGAGGGTGGATCCGGTGCTCCTGGGGAGATGGCATTTATGTCAGCTCCTCATGAGCACTGGCTCCCACTCTCCCTCCCTTGCTACCTCTGATAGAGGCAGCAAGGGACTGGGGAGTGCATGTAGTCGACAAGATTAACCGATAAACTGGCTTAAAAACCGGCTTCCTGTGTAGACATCTGCCTGCCACCCTGCGTTGCTGCCTCTGATACAGAGGCAGAAGCTTGGGGTGGCAGCAGCCTCTGTCCACAGAGCACCTGAGCTCCCCACGGACAGAGGCTGCTCTATGGCAGAAGCCCCTATCTGTGGGGAGCCCAGCCCAAAGATGGAGGAGTTGCACTGGGAGTATGATTGCTCAGTGCTCCAGTGTGAAACTAGACAAAAGCCTGTTAAGAGTATTTGCGCTAAGATTAGAGGCAAGAGCAACTAGGGTGATGTCATGGTAGGCATCTGCTATAGATAACCAGACCAAGAGGATGAGGTAAATGAAGCTTTCTTCAAACAATTAACAGAAGTTTCCAATCCCAGGCCCTGGTTCTCATGGGGGATTTTAATCACCCTGACATCTGCTGGAGAGCAATACAGTAGTGCTCAGACAATCCAGGAAGTTTTTGGAGAGTGCTGATGACAACTTCCCAGCTGATGACAAATGCTGGAAAAACAACCAGGTGCCAGGCTCCTCTTGACCTGCTGCTCACAAACAGGGAAGAATTGGTAGGGTAAAAAGTGGGTGGCAATCTGGGGAGAAGTGACCATGAGATAGTTGAGTTCAGGATCTGACAAAAGGAGAGCAGCAGAATGCAGACTTCAGAAAAGCAGATAACTAAGCTTTGATCTCCCACCCCATTGCACCCCTTTCTCCCAAGTTCCAGGCTAACGCCCTGACCTCAAGGTCACTGGCCACCTGCCCTCCAAAAACCCATGTAATCTGTATCGAATTGAGCACCCAAAAATCACTAGACCCTGTTAAAAATCTCATCTAACACAGTCTTCTTGCAGCTCCCTGGTCTCAGTCTATTATTTCCCCTGCAGACCCAACTAAATACTCCGAGGGCTATACATGCTTTTTCATTTTAAACACACTGCTAATTCTCCCTAACTGGGCTGAAGCTAGGAAGAAATCACATTTTCTCATCAAAAGTCGCATAATTATGTGATTTCTGAGACCACAACAGGAATCTGTCAACAGGATCAAAACTGTAAGTACTGCAGTCAAGAAATCTCCTTATTTCTTGCTGCTCTTCTCACTTGGATCCTGAAGTCACACTCTGGTCTATATAGTTAATATATATTTAGGGATAACTTCTGTGAAACAAGCTACCAAGTCCACTATGGATTTGCTGATTTTAGATGGAAAGAGCTCACTAGAGTTCATGTTGGAGTTCATAATTTCACCCAAAATTACTTCTGAAATATTGTTTTCCAAGAAAGGAGCGGGTACCATACACTAACTGAGATCAATGCCAAATGAGCAAGATCAGAGTCATAGTTTGAGCCTCAGGTATGTGGAAAAGACCATTATAATACTTTTTTATATGACATGATTTTATGGGAGTCTTTTTGTCAGAAACCAGTCTTCATATGATCCCCAAATGGGACCACTAACCAAATCCCAGGTACTCATGAGTAGAGCTCTACCAAATTCACAGTCCTTTTGGTCAATTTCACAGCCATGGCATTTTAAAAATCAATTTAATTATTTCAGCTATTCAAATCTGAAATTTCACGTTGTAATTGTAGGAATCCTGACCCAAAAAGAAGTTGTGTGTGTGTGTGTGTGGGGGGGGGGGGGCTGCTACCCTTACTTCTGCACTGCTGCTGATGGCAGCGCTGTCTTCAGAGTTGGATAGTTGGCCCAGAGTCGAGCTCTGAAGGCAGAGCTACTGAAGTGAAGAAGCAAGGGTGGCAATACCATATCATGCCTCCCTTATTTCTGCACTGATGCCTGCAGATCAGGACCCACAGTCAGCAGCCACTTCTCTCTGGCCAGCCAGCTAGGAAGGAAGCAGCTTAGAAGAACGGGTATTATGGTATGATACTGCTGCCCTTATTTCTGCATTGCTGCTGGCAGGACACTGCCTTCAGAGCTGGGGACTCAGCTAACAGCTGCTGCTATCTGTCCACCTAGCTCTGAAGGCAGTGCAGAAGTAAGGGTGGCAATACTGTGACCCACCTCTAAAATAATCTTATGACTCACCTGCAACTCCCTTTCGGATCATGAGCTCCAATTTGAGAAACTTTGATCTCCCCCATGAAATCTGAAAGTATAGGGCAAAAGCACTAAAAAAAAACAGATTTCACAGGGGTAGACCATAGTCTTTGATGCTTTTTTTTTTTATGGACTGATTTTGACAGGGTCCGAGTCATTAGGCACAGCACATTTCAAGACAATCCAAAATAAACATATGGCTTTTAAAGCACTTCGAAAAGTTGTCTGGAAGACTGGAAGGGTTAGTGGGTTATGTTAGGGTCACCATAGGTCAGTCAGCCAGAGGAGGATGGTGCAGTAAAACATGGCACAGATTGGCGAAAGGAGTGGATTTATGTGGCTAGGGCCGTGAGGATGGTAACCAGGTCCTGGGTGTGGGAGTGTGAGGGTAACTGCTCGCAGGGGCGATGGGGATGTGTGCGCTGCAGGGGGCTGTGTGCAGGCTGAAGTCCAGTGAAGGAAAGAAATGGGAGACCCTGAAAGACCTGTCTAGAGCCTAGTACCAGAGAAGATACCCACCGGTCAAGCACATGGTTGTAATTGTAGGAATCCTGACCCAAAAAGAAGTTGTGTGTGTGTGTGTGTGGGGGGGGGGGGGCTGCGGGGTTGCAAGGTTATTGTAGTAGGGCTGCGGTACTGCTACCCTTACTTCTGCACTGCTGCTGATGGCAGCGCTGTCTTCAGAGTTGGATAGTTGGCCCAGAGTCGAGCTCTGAAGGCAGAGCTACTGAAGTGAAGAAGCAAGGGTGGCAATACCATATCATGCCTCCCTTATTTCTGCACTGATGCCTGCAGATCAGGACCCACAGTCAGCAGCCACTTCTCTCTGGCCAGCCAGCTAGGAAGGAAGCAGCTTAGAAGAACGGGTATTATGGTATGATACTGCTGCCCTTATTTCTGCATTGCTGCTGGCAGGACACTGCCTTCAGAGCTGGGGACTCAGCTAACAGCTGCTGCTATCTGTCCACCTAGCTCTGAAGGCAGTGCAGAAGTAAGGGTGGCAATACTGTGACCCACCTCTAAAATAATCTTATGACTCACCTGCAACTCCCTTTCGGATCATGAGCTCCAATTTGAGAAACTTTGATCTCCCCCATGAAATCTGAAAGTATAGGGCAAAAGCACTAAAAAAAAACAGATTTCACAGGGGTAGACCATAGTCTTTGATGCTTTTTTTTTTTATGGACTGATTTTGACAGGGTCCGAGTCATTAGGCACAGCACATTTCAAGACAATCCAAAATAAACATATGGCTTTTAAAGCACTTCGAAAAGTTGTCTGGAAGACTGGAAGGGTTAGTGGGTTATGTTAGGGTCACCATAGGTCAGTCAGCCAGAGGAGGATGGTGCAGTAAAACATGGCACAGATTGGCGAAAGGAGTGGATTTATGTGGCTAGGGCCGTGAGGATGGTAACCAGGTCCTGGGTGTGGGAGTGTGAGGGTAACTGCTCGCAGGGGCGATGGGGATGTGTGCGCTGCAGGGGGCTGTGTGCAGGCTGAAGTCCAGTGAAGGAAAGAAATGGGAGACCCTGAAAGACCTGTCTAGAGCCTAGTACCAGAGAAGATACCCACCGGTCAAGCACATGCTGAGAGGCAAGGGGTGCGTAGGCCGGGCTGGAGGGCAAGGCCTATAGTGACATGCACTCCAAGCCAGTTGGTGAAATGCCTCCATCCCCAGCTCCTCACACCCCTCCCCGAAATGACATCCCTGACCCTCTGGTGCCCCCAGAGACCCCGGCACCCT